TGCTTGTTGACCTACCTGCATCAGAGTCCTCACGTTGAAGGCCCCCAGATTAAGTGGCTGACGAGTCTTCAGAATATGCAATCTATTTTGTGTTAAACTGCTTACCGAGCTACTAGGCAACGAACTTTGGCGAGTGACGAACAAGTTGTCTGAAGGAATGTTACGGGTTAGAAGAAAGGGTAAAGGGAGGGGGTTGGGTACGGAAGACAAAGAGTTAATCAAAGGTTGGGATATCTGAGCAGTATCTCACTTATCACTACCCACCCCGCTCGATGCAGTGAGCAGCGCGATCCTGATTATCCTGCACGACGACCGATGCAGTATGGAATTATTTTTTGGTTGTGTATGCATTTGAGTTTGATGGACGGGTACTGCCGGAGTGTCCAGCCACTAGCCAGGAAAATGATTAGGGTTCTCGTCCAAAGCCTTTAGTTCTGACAAGAACCTGACCGTAAGGCAGCTCGTAAAGCGGCGAGCGATGTTTGCCAAGGCTGGTAGCGATTTGGAAAAAGATAAAGAGTGGTCAAACTAAGACCTGTCATGAGGGTGTGAAAGCCCTAACCAGGAGACTAGGTCACATTGGCCCCGTTGGGCTCCCTGGCTGGGGACCTCGGGATGATGGTCATCGATGGTTAGAAACACTAAGTGATATGGCTGGGTGTCGCAAACAGTGGCGCTGGTGCATCCACTCGTTATTCTCCTAACACCACTCTATATGGATTCCCCATCTTCCGCTTGAATTTGCTTCGACATTCCAGTCTTCATTTTGCTCCTTTATGCAAATGGGAAACCAAAAGACAGCAACCAAAACCGGCACACGAAAGTACATGGTTAATGGTTGTAAAAACTGAACTGAACTGAGCATATTCTAAACTGAATATTCCGGTGAAAAATTTGTAGACTACTACTCTTTCGTTCGCCTTTGTTGTTGCCATTATATGTTCTAACCGATCGATACATTCGTTACGCCCAGTGTCTGTATACTTAAGTGACAGACTAGGTTCAACACGTGATTCGCCAATTAGAAATGTATCGGTCACAATCAGGGCCGCATCAGACGTCGGGTCTGACCTTTGGATAATGACCTGTCAGATTTCATCGTTGCTCTAGCAAGGAAAAGTGCGAGTATCGTTCATTCATTCACACAGGCGCGTTCTCTCTAGGGCGTTTATCGATCGCTCAGATCTGATATCTTTTTCAAAAAACCATTCAATCAGGGTTATCGTTCACCTGTTTACAGGTTAGTGCGACTGAGCTCACGACCATGGCTTTGGTGACCACTGCAACAAAAGGACCACATCCGGTACGAGAAAAAGCTTTGCGGATTACAAAGATGCACTTTTAGCAATGATAGATTGTCGTTTGGCGCTCCTTTGGAAATCAACAAGTGTATTGTTTAGAACACCGCAGCATTGCACGAATCTGGTGGGGCAGCCGGACGAGTAATGCTGAGGTTAGACGCGGCACCGGAATCTTTCTGCCCTTCTCATTTATCTGCCTAATCGTTATCCGTTCATTTCACAATTTGTTGAATTTTTCTTCTCCATTTTCAAACTGTTGCTCAACTTCTACATTTTTCATTTTCGAATTTGGCACATGTTCCTCTTAAGTTAGGTGAATCCTTTTCAGTTGATAAATTTTGAAAATGACCGTCTTTTTCTCGGGTACGATACCTTCCTCACTCGTTATCTGTATAATAAACGTATCGATGATCTTCGAGTCTTAGCTTCGTGGACAGTTGTGCTTGTGTACTATCTTCCTTGTCTACAATGCAAGACGCCCGAATGAAATTAGTTATGTTCTTTATTCCTCCTTGTTTGTTTGTATTCCTAATGCAGGGTCCGAATTCATAACTAAAAGATTTTTTTGCATTTCCCCTCAGCTTAACCAACTCCGATTGGAGCTACGTAAAAATCTTGACCGAGAATCTACAGTTGGTGGAGAATTGTTGTCCCTCGTGAATGACCTGAGGACGACCATTACTAAACTGGAGGAGAAGCATTTGTATTTGCAAAAAGCTGTTGTGGAAACAGATTCAATTGCACGAAATTCGCGGGATGGTAAGCGCCTATATCTCGCCTGCATCCAATTTCGTGAACATATCTACTTGATTTATTTGCTTTTATGCATAGTTTTTAAACAGAATTTAGGATGACACGCACATTCCGATTTTGGCATGCTTAAGAGTGCTGTAAAACACTGTGAGAATCATTTGTGTTTTTGCAGAGGCATGGTAGTGTTGGTCGGGTGGTTTACGCCATGGAGTCCGAGATTGGAGACCCACACACTGCGCGCAGTATAGTCCATGGTTCCCGGGGCACACGCCGAAAATAACTGTCCTAGAAATTTCCCATGGATGAGAGTCCCCATGTGCATGGAACCGAGGGGATCGTGTGTGTGAGTTAGTTGTTCAAACCTCGATGCAAACTGCCTCACAAAACTGAAATTCGGATTTGCATAAAACCGTGACAAACTGTCTCTTGGAATTGATGGCTACATCTCGCCGTTTTGAGATACCAATAACTGTTCAAATAGTATAGCAATTCTTATCAGAACTTAGCCGAGTTTGTTCGCCTTTTGATCACAAACTTTTGAGGTGCCTACACTTGTCTAGGTGTTTATCTACTGAGCCACAGCTTTAAATTTAGAGCTTTTATTGTCCATCTTACATGGTCTAACTGGTTTTATATACCATCCTTATGCGTCTTTTTTTCCACCAACGTAGTCATCCGTGAGTGCAATCAACGCCTATTACACAGCTGTAATGGTTGTCGCCAATTAGTTGCTGAACAGGTCAGCTTCGGTATTGCAAATCTGTCCGATCAACTAACGATTCAAATCACTTCTCTCGTGGAGAAAGTGAGTCCTGATATTTTTACTCTGTTTATCCGGATAAACCATTGAATTGAAGGTTTGGGTTTAGGCTCATAAATGAACACACACATATATATATATATATATATNAGGGTTGCGGCTGGTCACCCTCCCCTTGCACCTCGCGAAATGCTCCCATACGACCAAGCGTCTCAAGCCTCTGCATAGGAAGCCCTACTCCCTGCATTCTCGTGGCGAAGGTGTTTTCACACCGGAATGAAAGGATGAAAAGCTGATATCCGGGGCTATAACCGGGTTGGTGGACCATTGGTAGTTCACCTAGGGGAGTTGGCCTAAAACCCTGTGTGCTGTCACGCCTCAGTGGACTGAAATTCCTTGGTAAATTAGTTCCGGTAGCTATACGCACGATATGGGCAGAACACGGCTACGGGCAGCAGAACAAAGTCCAATATAGTAGTATCGGCAGTGGTAGTAATCGGGGTTCTAAAAGCATACAGTAATAATAAGGCATAAAAAGTAACTTACAGCCAGGTGACCAACCAAATTACGGGGCAGCAGTAACAGTTCGTGACAGCAATGGTAGGAACAAGGTCTACCCGGCAGACAGTCAAGCGTAACAGTAGCGCAGCAGTGAATTCAAATCGGAAGAGGTTGCGTTACGGTACGGAAAAGTCTTACAATACATTTTAGTTCCGGAATAAAGCGAAAGAGAAGTAAATTACAGTGGATTGGGGTGAAATGCAGTAAATGCTGGAACGTTAGGATGCAATACAAAGAAGCAGTTGTAATCAAAGTTATGCGTGTCAGAGGGCAGCATTGACAAAGACAGTAAACAGTTAGCCTGCAAGTGTTTGTGGTCTGGGGCTAGCGTGTGTGCCGACCGGGGTTTGGGCTGCGGTTCGAGCCTCGCTGGTGGCGGGCTTTTGCTCGCAGAACAAATGATCAGAAAAGTTTTATGCCAATGGGAAAAGCAACCTTATGAATACACAGGTAGAAATCACAACATTAAATGTCCAGTAAATGTGCTATCTGAATATATAAATTCCATCAATATAGACGCCGTACAATACAAGAAACACGAATGTGCAACTGTTGGGAAAATAAATACGGTACCCTACTCATGAGTAGTCTAGTGGACACAAGGGAAGAAACATCTAATTACGAGTAGTAATTAACAGTATTGCCAACGTTTCATCACCAATCGAGGTGACCTTCTCAATACAGTAACTGGGTGAGCGCTTACGAGTGTCCTCTTCGTTGTATAAGTGATGTGGCGTTGCTTGGAACGAAGACTCTGAGGTGACATGCTATATATACATCTATATGTTTCACACGTCTGATGCCAGACTATGCCAAACAAATCGTGGTACAATAATCTTTATAAAAAGAAAAAGCTCTGCTGAGGAAGTCCTACTCACTGCTTTATTGTGGCGGAGGTGTTTTTGCACGAAAGTGAGAGGACGAAAAGCCGATATCCGGGGCTATAGCCGGGTTGGTGGACCACTGGCCAAAAACCCTGATTCCAAACCAACCAAGAAGAGGCGTACGAACCACACCTACACCTTTCCGGTTGTGGCAATGGTCACCGGCTGAACTGGGCATCGAGGTGTATTGGGCACCTTGGACGTTTGACCCCGTTCAAAGGGCTTATGATCCAATGAACTGGACACCGGCTCCCAATGGACTGCGGTTTTCGCACCGCCCCGCTGCCTTGCGGGTCAGGCTTTGGTTAGCCAAAGGCTCCGGTTGTGGATTCCCCAAGAAAATTCGCCTGCCTTAGCCTGGGTAACCTGGCAGTATTTCGCCCACTTGCAAATCGTGCATATATATAGATGATGTTCAGGTGTTCGCCGAGCTTGGCAGTTGTATTGCATACGTTTCATCACCAATCGAGGTGACCTTCTCAATGCAGTAACTGGGTGAGCGCTTACGAGTGTCCTCTTCGTTGTATAAGTGATGTGGCGTTGCCTGATTGGCCAAGGTTTGTTCGCCTTGTGCCGATAGGGGAGGAGGTGGACGCGAGCCGTCTGACGGCTGGCCGTTGATCGATCAGTCTAAGCGTTACTTTTGTCCTGTCGTGTCACGTGTGATACGACCCACCTTTGCGTTGATTGGTCCTTTTGTTGCATGGGGGTGTAGACTTGCTCGATGTCAATGTGTCGGTTGACCGAGTTTTCCGATGAGTGCCAAGCTCCCGGAAATTCTCTTGCGTGCTTGGCGCGCGCCTGATCGACGACTTTGATGTTTACTATGAAATATTCTATAAAAGTTACTCAAGTCACGTTTGGTGCGGTTGGTAGCATCTAACCCACCTACCAAACACCGAATCATTGTTTTGATTTTTCAGTGGACTGGCTGTGAAAGAGCTGTGTATCCAAAAGTTACCACGTGATTCAAACAAGGTTATTTTGAAAACAAAGCACTTCCTGGGTACAATTATATGAATGAACTGACAAGAGATTACGGGTACGCATACTTGATGAGCTGCAAGAATAGTGAAACCGGCGTGTGCTTCGAGGGAAATTTTTTCAAGTTATTCATATACTGATTATTGTAAAATATATATTTATATGTATGTGTATCACCGGTTTGCGAGCAAGCACGATTCCAACGTAACAACAAAAGAGGATATTGGCGGGATACAAAACAGATTGCAACGGAGGTCAAACAGTTTACAGTAATTAACCAGAATAGCATTTTTTTGTTTCACGGCACATTTTTGATCGGTTGGAAGTCATTCGTTAGATGAAAGTAGTGCTAGTCGCATTAGGTGAATAAAGTTCGTGCTGCGCTTGTTTAAACATCGCTCACGGTGCTCATGTCACGTCAATTGGGGTTCGACTGGCAACAGAACTTTCACTGTAGTGTCCGTTTTCAATTGGTCCGGTGTGAGTTGCATCTATTTTGTAACTTCTTCCTTTTTTCCTTTGATCCAGGCACTTCTCAAACAGATACAGACAGAAAAATTTGATTCCAAATGGTTCACTCACCTAAACAATGTGGTTGGTCAAATAGCTCGAGAGTCCGTGGAAGAAGCTCTCAATAGTAAGTACTTCGGCTGGTCTTTTGGTATATGGTGAACGTTGCCGTATTCCAGTCGCTGTACCTCCACCTCGTTAGGTTTCTGTAGGGCCATTCGTTTAATCATAACTCATTTAAGAATGGATATGTTAGTGGCTAGCCGCAACAATTTTCCTCCAACCTCATACAGTTATTTTCTAAGAGAAACTGACCTTGTTTTTCTACTCATCCGAATAGATTTTATTTCAGTTCACAATTTAATTAGTCTATCCTTTTCAAGTTGAGAGTTGTGATCGACGTCACGGAATCTGAATCTACATTCAGTGGTTTTGAAGCGTACAACACGATTTATCGAATCGGTGTTTCAATCATTCTTAGAAACACCGGTGTCACATTTATTCACACCCTATTTCTGTGTTCCACATACGGATGAGATTAGGCTCTGTTCCAAACAAATCACGATACAATAATCTTTGTAAAAAGAAAAACTTTCTATGATTTGCTTCTGGACGGAATACTGCCAGTTTGCTTTGACCTGGGAAACCTGACAGGTGAATTCCTTTGGGGATTTCACAACGGGAGCTCTTGACTAGCCAAGGCCCAACCCGCAATGCAGCCAGCCAATGTAGGGAAAACCGAAAATTAGGGGCCGTTATCCAGTTCATCGGATCATGCTCCCTTTGGATCAGTATTTGTTTTGATTCTGATGCAACCAATCTTGCCGATATCTATATGTATAATGATGTATGTATGATGAAAGATCTAGTAGTGTTAATAAAGTTTGTCGGGTTCTCAGTTTTTACTACCACTAACCATGTATTTTCATGCGCCGGTTTTGGTTACCGTCGTTTGGCTGCCCATTTGGATAAAAGAAGAATGAAGATAGGAATATTGAGAGTAGAATCAACGTGAAGATAGAATTCATATAGATTACGCTTGCAACAATAATGAGTAGAGGCCCGAGCGCCGCTGTTTTTGACACTACATGTCTCGAACAATTGACTACCATGCTTCCCAGGTCCCTATGCAAGGAGCCTAACGGTACATATGTGACTCAGTGTCCTGGCTAGGGTTTTCGTACCCTCGTGCCAGGTCTTATTTTTATCGCCCTCGACTTTTCCCATCCGGTGCCTGCCGTGACAACCTACCTGGTGACGTACGCAACGCAAGTTCCAACGACCGTAGTGTGTGGAGGTCGACTATCCGTTCCAGTGGACGACCGCGATTACCAAATTCTCTGCGCCTAAACTCAGCATTGCTTGTCTGATTTCTCCACCAGAATCGTGCAATGCGG